AACAACTTAATGATTTCGGAATAAGTGTTAGGAACAGTTGATTACGAATTTTAATAATTGATATTTGTAACTAATTATTTAAGTAATTTAATAATAATTTTTTATTAAAAAAAATTATTTATTGATATATATATTTAACGTTGTTAAATTTCTTATAAACAATGAACAAAATAGTTAAATCTATTAGAATAATTTGAAAGTTGCTATGCATGATTTATATTATTAAAACTTTTAATCTTATAGTTAGACCTTAAAATATTAATTAAAAATGAATTTTTTGATATATCCTCTAAAAAAATTTTAAGAATACAACTTGTACTATACTTTTCCTATTAGTTTATGCTCTTTGTTTTTATTTATCTATGTGGATAGTAATTTGGTACACATTTAATTTAACACACTGCATAATACATTCATTAAAAAATTATTATTTTTAATCAAAATTAAATACAAACAAATTTAAAAATACAATTATGCAAGTACGATGTAAAAATCAGTTGAATCAACTATATTTATATTATATTTTTACTGGTTAAATAAAAAATGTGTCAAAAAATATATTAAACTAAGTGTGTATCAATTATTTTCCTATCTATGTATACAAAACTAATTTTATATGTAATCTAAAGTAATATTTTTACATTATATATAAATGCTAATACTTAGTAAATAATTTTATTTGATAAAAATAGTTTTCAATCATGATTCATATAAGTACTCCAGAAAAACATTAATTAAAATTACTCTTCTAAAAATTAAAATAGACAGATAAATAAAAACGGAATGTATAATTTAGTAGTTTGTGTATTTTCCCTTAAAAGACAAATTGACTAGAAAACAATTGCAAAGGAAGTTTATTCATTAAAGCAGGGGACATGTCTGCATTTACTCCAAAACCCATGAAGAGAATATAGCAAGCGAGTCAATATGGATATGTACCAGTTTTGTTACTAAAATGGTACATATTAAATATCAAAATTTTTCATGTACTGTTTTTGATTTATTGTTATAAATATATATTTTTATAAATTAAATATCAATTTTTTTTTCTTTCTAATCATGTAAGTTACATGATTTGTAATTAATAATTTAAATTTTATGTCAGCAAATTAATGATATGTTTTTATTTTTAAAATTTATTGATATT